GTTGCCCTAACACATGCATGCCAGTGCAAACATGGTGGGGACAGGCATCCCTAAGGCATATTTGGGTTGGGGGGTAGAAATGTTTGATGCCTAGTAGTATATAGATGAATGGGAGATAAGGGGAATGAAAGGAGGAGCTCACCAAGGTTGTATTTCTGCACAAAGCATGCAAAGAAAGGGAGGGGATCTACCAGAGGGCCAGTAGGACACGTAGGATCCCTGTCAGGTGTCCAAGCAGTCCACTGAAGAGCTTGCCAGAGGACAAGAATGTGCCCTGGTGGGAGCCTGAGTGAATTGGAGAGGAAAGCTGTGACCATGTTCAGTATCGCAGCCAGGGGAGTGTTGAGGTGTTCGATGCCAGAGAATTCTTGCCAGGCAATGAGCATTTGGAGGTGCTGGCAGAGGGTGATGAAGAGGAGGGCTTGCTGGACAGTGAGTTGCGGCACGGACTTGTGTGCTGCTGAAAGCTGGCAAATGAGGTCAAGGAGTAACATGGTGGGTGGGGGAGTTGGTATGAGGAGAGGAGGGGAGGGGAGTTGAGGGAGGGAGGAGTCAGCAAGGGGCAGTGGATTGGCAGTGAGCTCAGCTGGTTGGACAACAATGAGTGTGACTGGTGCCATTCATCAGGTATAGTAGATAACCAGTGACAATGTACATAATGTAGGAGTACAATGGAATAATATTATGTCAGCTGAGTAAGATATGTACAGTAAGCAAAAAACACTGCCACGTACCCCGTCCAGAGTCCAGAGTCCAGAGTCCAGAGGACCCTGCCCCAAAACTCGTATGTGCTGCCCTGACCAAAACGCTATACATAACATCCATTTTGTCAACGCGCACTCACGGCAAACGGTCAAGTCACCAATGATCCTCTCACTTCCTTTCGAGCTGCTGGAAGATATCGTTGCAGAAGTCACGAGGCGATGCGATCTCAAATCTCTATGTTTTGTGAACAAGAAAATTGGTGGAATAGCCCAAAAGGAGCTGTTCACCGACGTGGGCCAGCTCAAGACGAAGTTCGCTGCCATTTGCTTCTGCCGCTCCATTTTGCATCGCCCGGACCTTGCAGTCCGCGTGAAGAGGCTGGGACTACTCTCTTTTTTGTTCCACGCCCTGCAGGTCGACGAAGGAATGTTTCTCTCCGCCTATACACGCTTATTCTTCCGAACCATGCGTCGCCTGACTGCGCTCAAGAGCTTTCTTTGGGACGTAAACGCATTTTCTCTGGACGACGTACTGCCAGCGTGGTACTACCACAACCTCTGCTCTTGTACGTTTGAGCTTCGTGCAATGGAGATCGGCAATTCGCTCCTCAAGCACGTCCCATTCCTGGCTCAGCAACGGTATCTGCAGGGTCTATCAATTCATGGCTCGAACTTTAACTTTGTTGCTGTTGCTGGTCCTTTATCTTTTAGTCTCAGCTCTGATGTGCTTCCAAATCTCCAGTATCTTAATGGTCCCTACAGCGCGGCTGTGTCGCTCGTTCCTGGTCGTCCGGTGGTCGTTTGTAGCCTGTTCCTAGATGGAGTTATAGACAATGGGCAAGTCTTGGCTTGTTTGCCTTTCTTGGAGAGGTCGACGGTGCCTGTTCGATACCTTATCGCCAGGATTCACGTTTGGACACCGGAACTATTCACCCTTATCGCCCATTATTTGCCACATTTGACACTCTTGCTCATTACAACAGAGGACGCGGAAGCCGAGGATACGAGTCGACAGGTACTCATGTTTGTAACATTCACAGACATTACTGCTATGCTGACAAGAATCCTTCGTAGATGAGAGACTGGTTTACCTCAACGCAGACTGCTGAAGCGCTAAGAAAGCTCCAAAAGCTTGAAGACATAATCTTCTACCTCTACAATCCCATGTCCGCCTTAGCAGACGATTACGCCCATACAATCACCCAATGGTGCACAGCAGCACCCACGATTGAATTGACGTCAATTATCCTACATGAAACACGTCGCTACGTCTCGACCAGTGCAGAAGGGGAACTAGCTCAAGTCCGGTATCGGCGAGAAAAGGGAGGAAACGCGTGGGAAAGAATAATTAGTGGTGGTTGAGAAACATAGATTAGGCGGAACAGGAACCCGCCTCAAGCGAGCGCTCTTATTGGTCAATCGTTCCTATTCGAAGACTACAATTGAAGGACGTCTATCATCATCTTAGATCATCATCATTCCTGTCCGCTCCGATCCCCACACGTCTTTGAACTTGTTCAGCTCGTCCTGAGGCATGGTGTGCGCTTCCTCGTCTGCTGGGAACTGGCCTTTCCTGACAGCCATGGCGGATGCCTCGACACCCTTCAAAGCTTCTTCTCCCACCTGGGCGAAGCGACGAACGAACTTGGGCTTGCGGCCACCACCCCACACACCCAGCGCATCGTCCTGTACAAGTACCTGCCCGGAACACCGCATACCTGCTCCGATGCCAATAGTCGGGACGCGGAGCGAGCCGGTAATCTCTTCCGCTAATAGGCTCGGAATCGCCTCGAGAACAATCGCAAACACGCCTGCGTCTTCCAATGCCTTGGCCGAGCGTGCGATCGATAGCGCGTCTTGAGCGTTCCTGCCCTGGACCTTATATCCGGAGAGGCTGGTATGCTTCTGTGGTGTGAGGCCTATGTGCCCCATCACCGGAATTCCGGCCGCTGTGATGGCGCGAACCACGTCAACAACTTCATCTCCTCCTTCGAGCTTAACTGCTTCCATGTCGCCTTCCTTCACCAGCCTCACTGCCGTTGCGAGGGCTTCTTTCACGCCAAGCTGGTATTAGCCGAAAAGCATATCTCCAAGAAGGAGCGGTCTTTTGGCACCGCGTGCGACTGCTCGGCAGTGATGCAGCATTTCATCGAGCGTGAGGCGTGTGGTGTTGTCGTGACCAAGTGCAACTTGTGCGAGACTGTCGCCCACGAAGCAGATGTCGATATCTGCTTGATCTGCACGCCGAGCAGAAGGATAGCTGTACACAGTGAGCATTGTAATAGCCGTACGAGTGGCATGCAACTGGCGCAAGTGCTGAAGAGTGACTTTCTTTCGGTCTGCAATGATACATCGGTATGCTGCTTTCGACACAGGGAAGATATAATTACCAGCTCGTTCCGGTGACGGAGCTTCAGGCCGAACACTCATCCGTCGAACACTGGTCCATACACCACCTTGGCCGGTTGCAAGTTTGACGGTGAAAGAATTTGTTATGGGTCGGATGGCGGTGAACATTTTAGAATCCTCCTCGTGAGAGTAGCAACAGGTGCAAAGGAGATGAAGTTGGGTGATTTACAGTGCATTGTCTGGGATTGGAGTGGCCAATATATACTCTTCGCACTGAAGTGGGAGAACAGCAAGAGCTTGCGCACATCTCTAGAACGTGCGTTCTCTCTTGCGAATAAACCCTGCGAGCGCTTAGAAGCGGAGTACACGCCCTACCTTTCTGTTTGGGCACCACAAGCCCGGTCCGCTATCCATTCAGATGGTACCGAAACTGGAGCAAAGCGCTCCTGCACAAGGGATGGGAACAGGGTGAATAATGTTCTGCATGTGTCTTCTCGATTGTTACGAGTCGTTGTGCATGAAAAAGGGAAGCCATTAAATTTCCTTCTGGGACATAGAATGATGGACAATGCGATACAAAAATCAACGTTCCCAAATGACTGCGATAGCCTTGCTACCTGCGTAACTCCATCAGGAGCAGAGATAACGATAATACCGCCCGAGTTGGGAGCAGAACCATCTCAAAAGGAGCCGTATCCTCTGCTGGTTCTAGACGTTCTCGGCTACCGCCTGCCGAATTGCCTTTCGAGGACATGTGTAGCTCTCGCAGTACGTGCGTCTGTGCGCAGGAAAATAACCTCCGTGTTGTGCTGGCGCTTCTTTCATTGTGAACCGGACTCTTCAGAACAAGAATAAGGGCACCACATGCGCTCGCTAGAATTGATCCGACGGAGAGGAGAAGGTTGACTAGGTGACGAACGGGTCCGAAAAGGTTGAACTGTCGGATTTACGAACTACCGATGGTGAAGCGAGACGGCCGCTTTGCAAATAGGAGCGCATTGCTGGACACTGCAGCTCTACGCAATAAAGAACCAGGAAAGCACCCTCGCGGAAAATGGGAGCGGTGATGCGATGACAAAGAGATGGCGCCTTCTTTCGCGCTCGCTGCTGAGCCAGTCACGCGCCCGCAAACCTGGGCGCGTATGGGCGCTTATGTGATGTCAAACGCGTTCTCTTTCACATCGTTATGGGCGGTGAGAGCCGTTTTGTGATAGCATGGCAATACAGGGGGCCACAAGACTGAGCGTCTGAGATGAGAAGAATAAGTTATAGCTAACATCCTAGATATTTTTCCACATTCGCTGACTTCTATTCCATGCTGTCTATCCGATCCTATTTTTACTAGCTCGTGGCCATCATGCTGCTCTCTCCTTCCTTCCCCAACGCGTCTTTGAACTTGTCGAATACTGACTCAGACATCCCATAACCCTCCTCGTCTGCAGGGAAATCGCCGCTTCTCACCGCCCTTGCATACCCGTCCACTCCTCGCTGTGCCTCTTGTCCAACTTGGGCAAACCGACGGACAAATTTAGCTTTGTGTCCCGCACTCCAGACAGAAAGAGCATCATCCTGTACCAGCACTTGTCCGGAGCACTGTGCTCCGGCACCAATGCCGATTGTGGGTATGTGCAGGGAGGAGGTGATGTGTGCTGCTAGAGGGCTGGGAATGGCTTCGAGGACGATGGAGAACGCTCCCGCCTGCTCGAGTGCTTTCGCTGCTCGTGCGATCGACAGAGCGTCTTCGACGTTCTTCCCCTGGACCTTGTACCCCGACAGGCTGGCGTGTCTTTGCGGCAGCAGTCCGATATGACCCATCACGGGGATCCCAAGCCCTGTCAGCACTCGCACTGTGTCGAGGATCTCCTCGCCTCCCTCGAGCTTGACGCCCTCCATCATGCCTTCCCTCACCATCCGTACTGCCGCGTCGAGTGCATCCCTCGGTCCGAGTTGGTAAGTGCCGAAAGGCATGTCTGCGACGAGCAGTGGGTTCTTTGCCCCACGAGCGACCGCACGACAATGATAGAGCATCTCGTCCAGAGTCAGACGAGTGGTGCTGTCGTATCCCAGCGCAACCTGTGCCAGGCTGTCACCAACGAGGCAGATGTCGATGTCGCCGTGCTCGGTCCGACGAGCGGAGGGGTAGTCGTACGCGGTGAGCATAGTGATAGGTATATTTTGAGCACGTAGGTGGTGCAGATGCTGAATGGTCACTTTATTGCGAGCTGGAATAGCCGATTAGTGTCATTCTACTGCAGCATGACTGTTGAGACGCACCAACTTTCAACGTAGTTTCCTCAGGCTCCTCCGGGTGGACACTCATCCATCGTACGGCCTTAGATGGACCTTGGTGCCTACCGGTTAACCGTCGAGGACATAGACGCGTTAGAAATGCGGAAGAGCGAAACATTAGTTGACCAACAAGAGAATGAAAGTAGAAGCAAAGAGTATGTTTGCTGGGGATGATACGGTAAGCAGGTTACCCCACAGAATATTAATGAATGACCGCGGTAATGAAACTTCTTACCGGCAATACTCCTATGCTCATCATAGACCCTGTCGTTATTCCCGACAAGAACCGCCCGTGGACGTACTGCCACTAAGAACCAAGAGAGTTGCCATGGTTATAAAGCAAGAGATATAACATAGAAATGGTGGACATAATGACAGAGAATTGAATTCTGATGCAGTACACACTTCTGCGCTAGAAGCCTTATGAACACTGCCACTTTGCTTCTTCAGATGTGTCCCATTCCACTGTTCGGGGCGTGTCCAACTCGTAAAAGGACATCTAGCGCCGCATTAACGGCGCTCAAAGAATATATCAGTAAATAAGAACAAAGATATTTCACTTCCGCGAGTGAGGCTTTCGCAGCGCTCAACTCTGGCTTCTCTCTTTTTCCCCTTCCTATACTGACGAAGCAGGGGTGACCATCGGTTTCCTCGCCCAAACAACCTGTAACCTCGCAAACCGCGGCGTCGTACCTTTCTCCACCTCACGCTCAAGACCCGATATCAGCTCATCTAGCTTCTCTGGATCCATCTTCCTCGCCATGGCAGGACGGGCAGCGGCAGCAAAGCCCTTCGCATCCTCCTTCATGCGTTCCCACATGCGAGTGTTGTATGCTTCTTCCTCTTCATTATCTGTAGCATCAGCCTCAGCATATTGATCTTGACAGTGAGAGGGAGAGGTAGTGGACGTCCCTCCCGTAGGAGCAGAGATAGCAATCCAGGTATCGTTTCCGCCCACGTCTTCCCAGACACCGCTGCTCCTCAACCACTCTCCCATAAAGGTCGCCGCATCCATATGTCCCCCTCTCTCCACCCCCATCTCCCGAAGGGACCAGAGCCACTCTGCGACCCAGCTGTGCCCCGGTTCCCCGCGAGGGGCGAGCGGGACAGGACGGTGGTCGGCGTCGTAGATCCGGAAATCCCATTCGGCAAGCTCGACCAGACCACCGGGTCGAAGAAGAGTGTTGATGCGGGAGAGCATTAAGGGGTAGTCATGGATCTGCAGCGCTCGATCAGCGGTCGGGAATAGTGAGAACTAGAAACACGCACTCCGGAAGAGATGAGTCTGGTGTGCACATAATCAAACTGGCCGTTCAGGTGCGCTAACCCGGAGTTGATATCGTGCACCGCGAGCTTACAGTTATCCGGGGTCGGTCTGTCCTCATCGCACGTCAGTTTCCACTCAAGCCGCGAACGAGAAAACGGGCTCACCGCATCTTTGGTGCCAAGTCTACCCCAAGCACCCTCGCCTCCGGAAACCTCAGAGCAAGATCAATAGCCCAAATCCCGCTCCCCGTGCCCAGGTCCAGCACAGCTTTCCCTTCGCCTTTCTCGCCTAGGACTGAAGAGACTGGACCGAGGTAGGGTACTCCGGACCAGCCGATGTCGGTGAGCATGTGGTGCTGCTGGTCTAGACGGTGGTTCTCCCCGTCGTCTGCCGTCCAGAGGTAGGCGATGCCTGGCTTGACATCGGAGGTCGTCGACTGAGCGGGGTGGCTATTGTGTGGGGTATCGGTGGCAGGTTCCTTGTCGATCGCCGAGGACGGTACGTCCTTATGCAGGTGCGAGAGAGAAGAGGGAGGCTGAGCGACAGCAGTCATCCTGGTAGGTGATTTCCTTCAGAGTTGATGGGTATCGTTCGGTCCTTTCGAGATTGGGGGCCAACACTCTGCTGAGGATGTGACCTTAAATACCCCGGATGCCCGCAGGCAAATGCGGCAAAGTCCTTTTCTGGAAAAGGAACGGCGTTAAATGTCACGTAAGTTTTGGTACATGAAATACCTTGCCGGTGCAGCCGACCAGCGGATGCACGGTTGTCCATGTGTAGATTGGACAGCGTGAGTTGTACACAGCGACGACAGCAAATGATCAGAGAGCCCTTTCTTTACTTAATGAGGTGACCGACAGTTCCGACCCTGTGCAAGGAACGAGAGTACTTAATCAAAGCACACATGGACATTACCCCTTCCATGCTTCCTTCTATGAATTCTGAAGGGTTTCCGGTCAGAGTAGGCGTTATTTCGGTGATTACCTGCTCATTAGTGCTCTTATCCCAGTTTATCGCATGATCAGACTGATCAATATGACGTGCAAAGGTGGGACCAGCAAGGGACAGTCAATGCAGATAACCATTACTCCCACGCCGTCGTCCACCCGCCTCATACCCGCACTCCGAAGCAGGGGTTTCCCTTCCTTTCCCGGGGGACCGGGGGCGAAGCAGACTTTCAGACTGCTCGACACCTGACATACCGCACTACCTCGTGACGCACGGAATCCACCAGTCTAAATCTATCACGCCCCGAAGCACAAGCCTAGGTTCGGCAAATGACCAAATTCAGTAAATAGAACTTCCCGATGGCTGTGAGGTTACATGAGAGGTGCTTGAGTATCCTTCTCGCTTGAGGGCCCTGGCTTTACTGAGTAAGGTTAGCAGTACTGAATCCGATCATGTCTACGCGCCCGGCCTAGCCACCGAACCGGCGTCGTGTGCCCAGGCCTGTACGTGATAAGCAGCATTCTCCTGAGCACGAGGAGTGAAAGGCTTCCTGACAGCATTGGATACCACGGTCCATATCGTCCATATCCAGTGATGGGATCTCCCGATCTAGTCACATTGCGCTCTCCACGCGGCCACTGGAGCGGTAATACGGACAATCTATCCCAAATTTGGGAGCGTGCAACAAGTACAGCTCCTAGTCAGTCGCCACATGCTGGGCTCGGGCGAGCACAGAGATGAGATGTGGATTATTACTGTAACATGGTACAGGGTGGTTAGAGTATAATTTCATCTGCGTGTCTGAGATGGGGGATAAAATTACTTGCACTAGAAATATAGTTTGTTGCCAAGAAAACAGACCTGGGTAAATCGACCTGCATGGGTCGTATACAATTGCCGTTCGTCGTGCGCGGCCGTGGAATGGTTCGTTCGTCCTGATCGCCTCCTTTTTGCCACGCCGCAATGCGAGTTCCCCTGTTCGGACTCTCTCTCAATTATCGGGCTGCTTCAGCCTGGCCCACGTGCATTGCACTCTGCAATACTGATGCTTTACGCAATCATCCATCTCCCCCTCCGCTTGCCGGATGAGCTCATCCACATACGCGTGATCGTCCGTGTACGACCGTAGGAGAGGTACGCCAGCCCTCAAGAAGAGTTTCGAATCCGCGCGCATCAACACCGCGCATTCGTTCCGAAAACGTGCCCAACGATCTTTACCTATGATAGCCGAAGAGGTTAGCTTGTGATGATAGATAGCAGACGGAGGGGTTCACCCGTGAAATGCGGCTGACTCGCGATCCACACGTCCTGGGCGCCGACATCCTCAAACTGTCCATGCTGCTTCACCCACGCGTTCACAAATGCTGCCGCATCCAGATCGCCCCCTCTCTGCCTGACAGCTTTGCCAAGCAAGTTCAGCCATTCTGCCAGCGCGGACCAGGCCGGCTTTTCTTCTGTGCTGGGAGGGGCGAGCTCGTAGCATGCAGTAGGCCCGTCTTGCCCGTTCACAGAACGGTACATTCGGAAATCCCATTCTTCGATGAGGACCATACCGCCTGGCCGAAGTACGCGGGCAATCTCGTGAATCAGACCGCAATAGTCTTTGATCTGTAATCACGTTCAGCAACCGTACTTGCCGCAGATGGGGACGCATACGCCAGAGGAGATAAGTCTCGCATGAACAAGATCAAACTGCCCATAAAAATGCGGCATTCCCAAGTTGATGTCATCCACTTCGACTCTACAATTTGGCGGGAACTCTCGACTCTGCATCGGGGCCAAGTCCACGCCTACGACCTCCACGTGCGGGTAGTCGTTTGCAACTTCGATCGCCCAAATAGCGCTGCCCGTGCCGAGGTCGAGGACACACTTTTGCTTTCCGGGCTCGTCGGCCAGCACTTCGTCGATAGGGCCAAGGATACCCGGCACCAACCGCTTGAGCATATGATGTTGGGCATCAAGACGCTATAGACGGACGAGCGCATCAGTACTCGCCCGCCTGGGCAAGATCAGAGACCGGACACGCACGGTTGTCTCCTCGTCATCTGCGGGCAGTAGGTACACGTCACTATGCGCATTGACGCTCCTCCCATGGACCTCTCTGAACGCCCGCTCCCTCAAGCTGCTCGTAAGCGAGTACACACTCCGTGCCGGGCTCGCGCTCCGAACGCTGCGGCTCTCGAGTGATGCGGTACCATCGTCGTGTGTTAGTGCAGGTGTAGTTGCGAAACTGACATCTGAAGCGCTGTCGTAATCGTAATCATAGTCATCGTCATCGTCGAGGTGTTCGTTGGAGCGGGAGGCATTTGGACCTGGGAAGACGGACGGTCCTTGTGGATCCCCATGGGAGTGTACTACCGTCCTCCCCGCCCCTTGCGACAGGACTCCCATTCCTTCTGCTCCTATTACTGTTCCCGTTACCGGATTCATAGCTGCCTCCATTGGGGATGTGGGTGGCAACTGTTCAAAATATGACGGCGGCAAGACGTCCTCCACCCGTATTTCGGGATCGTCTGGGGGAGGGGGTGTAGGTTGTCGGGCAGCTTGAACGATGGGAGAGGTTGGCGGGTTCGGTGTCGAAGGGCCTGCTTGAGGGAGAGGCATCGCAGAGTGTGGTGATGAATGACAGCGGTGACAACGGCGAAGTGAAAGTTGACAATGAAGAAGTGATTAGGTAATTAAGCTGTTGTACCATGTGCGTTCCACGTGTTCCGATCAACGAAAGAAGCACAAGAACCGACACCGTGGACAGAGTACTACCTAAAATAGTAGTCAACTTCCCTTCTCTTTTGGGCGCTCGGGTCCGAGTAATTTCCTCCGATGCCCCCTCTTCGGAGACAAAGTTCCTACAATGCCCCTCCGGAGGCAATTGCCCTAAATGTCCTCTGTTCTTCACATGTGCTGCGTCTTCGCGTCGTCATTGTGGCAGTGAGAAAGAAAATCATAGTTTTAAATAGCTCAGGGGTCCCACAAGTTTTGATGTTATAGTAAAGAAAGAAATGCATACTCAAAGAGCGAAATCTATCTCAGTCATTTTGGTACATTGCTGTTATTATAACCCTCAAATTACACCTCTACTTATTAGTAGTATATATTCTAATTTCTTGATAACACCATATGTAAATATTACTGGAAGACCCCTAAACTCTCTCATTTATGAGTTTCTTGTCACTGCCACAAAGATGACGCGCGCAAATATGCAGCACATGTGAGAAGAGGGGCATTTAGGCCAATTGCCTCCGGAGGGGCATTTTAGGAACTTTGTCTCCGAAGAGGGGGCATCGGAGGAAATTATTCGCGCTCGGACCAATCGCCGGACTTGATACCCCTTGGACCCCGAACTACTACTACTACCTTCTTCTTCTCACTGCTCATTGTTGGAGCCACTCTCATAACCTTGGCTTTATCAATAATTCACTTGCGGGCGTCCGCTCATCTTAGTACAAAAATTGATCATCGATCCCTCAACCCGTGCTTTATTCTCCAGCTGACGTCCGGCGTCCGAGCTGATCATCAACCCCTCATCGGACCCTGAGCTATAATAGCCACCCGCAACGGTGGCTCAACCTCGTTCTTATTCTTGTACTCTTGGCTTGGGCCTGAACCGCGCCTGTTGAACGTTTCTAACTCTGCGCCCCTACTACCCCTCCTGTTGGCTCTCTCTGATTACAACAACTTTGCGGCGCCTATTTCTGTTTGCTCATGTTCTTTTCCTGGTACGGACCCTAGCCGCTCCCTTTTTTTGGAAAAGGATGCCACCTCGTCCTTCTTCTGCTGTTACTACCTCTTCTTCTGAAGAAGGCAAAGCCGCCGAGGTGAGTCCTATCCTCTTCCTCTGAATAGACCCCAATCCTCTGACCCCTCCAGGTCGCACTCACCAAAGCAGCCCAACTCGAGCTTTCAGGGCAGTACGACACCGCCTTCCGGCTGTATCTCTGCTCCGCCCAAACGCTGCTCCACCTCACGCGTGCCTCGTCTTCTACATCTCCTATACTCTCCCCAGCCGAGCAAGCACGCTACAAGCTCCTTGCCAAGCGGGCTCTTGACCGAGCGGAAAAGATCAAAGCGCACAAACAGGACGTGGGCCCTGTAGCGCGCTCGAGGCTCGCAAAGGAGTCCCAGGCAGCAGTGCTAGATCGGTCAAGCCTGATCGGCGGGACACGTTATCCTCTCTGGACGTCTGCCTCTCTCTCTGCCGCATCCAGCACTTCCACAGAACCATTCCAAGACCCTGATGGCCTCCTCCCCCTCTCAGATGCCCAACATTCCGCCCTGTCTACCTGGATCAAACCCGACATCCCCATCCAATCATTCCATTTGGAGCCTAACGACCTCTTCCAGGAACTGATTACCGACTGTTCCGTGGTGGCCTCGCTCGTCGTCTGTGTGGCCCACAACCGCCAATTCGGTACCAACCTCGGCGTATGCTGTGTATTCCCCCAGGACTCTCAGGGTACGCCGGTACGGAGCGAAAGTGGGCAGTATGAGGTTAGGCTGATCTTGAATGGTTGTGCGCGCCGAGTTGCTGTCGATTCCCTTCTTCCTGTACGAGAGAGTGGGTGCTTACTATGCGTAAGCACGAGGGGAAACAAGGCGCTTTGGCCCAGTTTGCTCGAGAAAGCCTACCTCAAGGTTGGGGGAGGGTACGATTTTGAGGGAAGCAACGGAGCAATCGATCTGCAGTATGTCAAATTTTGGCCACCTATATTTTTGGTGTCCAGCTGACATCGCATAGCGCGATTACCGGATGGATACCCGAGCATCTGCGGATCGCTGAGTAAGTTCTCATGCCTGTTTTTCTTTCAGGTTTCTCCATTACATTCATCCCTCTGCTTTGGATGACGCTTACCCCCCTCTAGCGCAAAATTTCAACGCGAAAAAACCTGGAACCGCATCCTTCATGCCTTTCAGGCGGGGCACGTCCTCATGACCGCCGGTACCGGTCGATCTCCTGGGACGTTTGGTCCTCATCATCTAACTCCATTCCATGCGTATGCTGTTGTAGGCCTGCGGGAAGAGGAAGAGGGGAGGGAGAGAACGATTGATTTGTGGAACCCGTGGGGCAAGAGACCAAGTGGCGAGGCGGGGTTTTCAGGTACAGTGACAACTGCTCACAAGACTATCATACTAAGAAGGCAGACGGTCCTATTCGAATGCAATGGGACCACGTATGCGGGATATTTGACAGCATTTATCTCAACTGGGATCCAGGTATCTTTGACCACAAAGAGGTGGTACACAGGTGGGTCTAATGACAGATCGGATGTCGTCATTCTGATCGAGGAATAGCGTCTGGCAGCCGAATAAGGCACAAGACGGTGAAGAAGTGTGGAGTGCGTCCCTGTGTGAATCTTCATATCTTCCAACTGATCGATCAACAGCATCTAATCATCAGTATAACATTTCCTTTCCCAACGGCTCGGCAGAGGAGACAGAGGTCTGGGTACTGCTATCTCGACATACTGCCGGAAAGGACGAGGATCAATGCTTTATCGCCGGACACGTGTTTCATGCTGCAGAGGCTGATTCAACGTCGGTGAGCCGCCCAGCGTTGGAGGTGTGTATCCATTTCTACCCTGAACGTCGTAACCTGACACATGGCCCAAGGCGACTTATACGGACAGCCCTCACGTCCTTGTTCGCACTTCTTGCCTGCCCGAGGAGAACTCGCTGTCTGTGATCACCTCCCGACACGGAACTGGGGGTGTTGACACGGCCTACTCTCTCTCTGTCCATTCTTCATCATCTTTTGTCATAAGCGAGCCTGCCCAAGTGTATTCTTTTTCGCAATGGGTTGAAGGGGTGTTCACAAGCGCTACCGCCGGAGGCAATGCGTGGTATCCTACCTTTATGCGGAACCCACAATATGCGCTCGATGTAAAGCTTGCAGCCGATTGCGCACTCAACACGAATAACTCTAAATTGCGTCTGTCAGTACACGGCTCGAAGGACCTCCCGCTACACGTGCAAATCGTGTGGGGAGGAGGGGTGAGGGTATTTGAGCAAGTTCATCTTTGTTCTGCTCGTATCTCACGCTGACGCCTTGTCTATAGCGTGCGAACTACCAAGGTGGTCAAGGACTCCGGAACATATAACTACGGGTTCGGACTGTGTGAAGTTGCAGTCAAGCAGGGAACCTATACCGTCATTGTTTCATCCTTTGAACCCGGTGTTCTTGGACAATATAAACTCCAAGTCGAATGCGCCGATCCGTTCGAGATCAAACCCATTCCGCAAGAAGGTGCGGGTATGTTCAGTAAGCGAGTGACTGGTCTATGGTAAGCCAGTGTGTGGTCTTCGAATTCTTTTTCAACTGTCTCTGCAGGTGTGCAGACTCAACCCCTCCGACCTTCGCGATCACGTTAGACAAGCCAACAATATTGACGTAAGTCTTATGCTCTTTGCATAGGTGTATCTAATGATTCAGAGCAGGGCGAGGCTACAGCTAAGCGCGGCGAGCTCAAGCAGTCCGGTCAAGCTGTTCCTCAATATTCCCTCAACAGAGAGTATACCAGAACGAGAAATTGCTACTTCAGGCGATTTCGGCGAATCGACTGCTGGTGCGGCTATCCGGAACGTTCAACTCGCAACTGGCACATACGTCCTGGTACCTTCTATCATCTCATCCCGTCCAGCAGTCGATTTTATCGTTCAAGTGTATAGCAGCGCATGTTCAATTAAGGTTAGACAGGTGTAATATTAATGCTCAGGTACCACTTTGCTTGCGAGATCTAATATATCAACGAAACATCTGTACCAGCCCTGTAGCTCTTCCACAGCACACCAAAGGAGCCAAGTACGAAAGAGATCAGATGTAGTGAATTGGAGTGCGAGACCAGAAGGTAACTTGCTGTTGAGCTTCGAGAGGAAGACATTGATTGCGACAGGTAGTGATGGGGTTAATTCGACAGGCTTGAAACTCTCTGGTAACATGTTCAACTAGTTACTTGTTGATCCAGGGCAGTATTATTGGAATACTAGCCCTGGATGTGTCAATACCAGATTTATTTTCTTTGGCAGGTTCCCGTGCACCTTGCACCGTCTTCTACACACTTGGTGTACGTCAACCCCCAGTGCCTCTGTGAGGCTGGAAGGCACTGGGAGTAACTGTTGTGAGAGGATTGTCGTGGATAGGCGTGAGACGGCGTCCCTGCAGTCTTGATGGAGAACATACTCCATCACGTCGGAGTGGAAAGCGACAGATGTCAATTCCGCCAGCCACAAGAAACAAGAACGGTTTCAATCTGACGTGAAGCAGTCACGCCGTGTACCCATCAGGGGTATCGACGGCGTGCTGTGCTCAACTTTCTCAAGACGTTTCCAGCTGCACTGAAGTCGTTGTATAGCGACGTCACATATATGATGGATAAGGAGGGTAAGCAGACTGACTCCGCGAAGATGCAAAATCTTAGGTTGAGACACGGAAGCTGATTCTTCCTCAGCATCTGCCTGTGATCGCAATTTCGTTCAACTTCAAACATTTATTACTCAATATACGACCTATCAGGGTCGAGTGAAGGAAAACGTCGATGGGATGAGTGATCATTCCTCCCTCTACTCCGAGGCTGAGGCCGACGCCGGGAACACAAACGCTCAACGTGGATCCAATGGTAACCCAGATGAAATCAAGGACATACAAGCGGAGGTTCTCAGCTCGGCACGTGCGCAAGAGCGTGAAATAAAGAACCAGTCCAGAGATATCTTCAATCGACTGAGATCTATTGCAGTCGATGCCTCCTTCGTTCAGCTCGTCCACGAGCATTATCCAGAGCTTGCTGTCGTGCCAAATGCGCGATGTGGCTCATGGTATTGCCCTGTAAGTAGCATCGCCCTCCTGATACTCAATTAGCTGATAAGAGAGAAGCCGAAAGCAGGCGTGCTTCCGGCATACTTTAAGTCGACGGATGGCCATACGAACAACTACAAGTTTTCGCTGCGCAGGCCAAACCTGCATCTTATCCCGATCATCAAAGAACAGGGGGGGATAATACTTGTCGATTCCACCAGGAGAGGAAAGCTCTTTCCTGACGCTTTGTCAAGGACCGTTCCTATCTGGTGTGCAGTCATCAACACCGCCCTTGGCCTTAAGTTTCCCCGAGGACAAGACACCTGGTTGTTCACCTCACCTCGCTCAGTATCACCCTCGGAGCATGCAGTCATCTCGAGTCTCATTGGCGTATTTACAAATTCGCTCCTTGATTCTGCTTTGGTATTACCAGGTCTCGCTAAACCGATCCGGCCATTCTGGATTCACCCACAGAGCACCTCCTTCCCTTCGTTTCCGACCGAGTGCGATTTCTACCCCATCATATGCTTATCAGCAAGCAGAAAAGTCGGGGAAAGGGCTCAGTGGATTGACCAGGACCAGTGGGGTTCTGGATGGGGATATGTCCAAGGTGCCGGTGACGATGAGGAGGGCTGGGCTAAAGGTCTGACTCCGGAACTGTACTGGCGGCACAAGGCTCAGCTAGACAAGTGTGCGAGAGCCGATTTGTCAAAGCTCATGTACGGTCTCGTTGAAGGACGATGCTCAGATAAGGAGTGCATTGTTAGTCCAACATCTCCCATAGCAGCTGTTTCAGGGCGTCTTCTGATCGGCCAGTACCCTCTTCCCACCATGACCGATGGCGCGGTCTGCGTGACGATACTATCACAGACAAGGCCAGCAAACGAGCATCATAGTTATGTCTTCAGTCTTCCGCCCAAGCTCAAGCATGCGCAGACGATCTTTTACGTGGAGATCGTACCCCAGGTCGTACTGATCGCCAAGCAATCACTAGTCGCTGCCACGTGTGTAGTACTGGCAGACGACACCCCCAATGCCGAATGGTCTGCCCCCTTGGCGGTCATCCTTCTGCAACTGTTCTTCGACGACGACGGCCGACTTTTACCATCTACACCTACCAAAACACTGGAGAAAACTGCAGCAAGTGAAAATTATCGACCGACATCGCCCGCCGTGCAGATTGATGTCGACAAGAAGTCGCTTGCTCACAGGCTGCAGTGGGTCGTACAAAGCCATCCAAGTGCCAATCCCAGCCGAGCCCAACTGAAGAGCATCAATGTGCTGTTCATGTCACGATCACATACCACGCGTGAGCAAGCAAGCTGATATCACCCTAACATCCACCCATCTGCTGAATCACTCTCAATCAAATGCGCTTACTTCTTCACATTCGATGGTCACATGTCGCCTATAGACGAAGCAGAACTGCTATCAGGCATGCGCTATCGCCGGGAAGCGCACCCTGCCGGCAGAGGGGTCCCATAAGCCTACCTGCGCCTGTAATCAGAAACATTTTTCTGGTAGTTGTGGTGGCAAAAAATTGATACCCGTACGATGGGCTTCGGATGTTTCTCACGTAGTGATACTGGCAAGTAGAGGAAGAGGAAGGAAGAGACTCAACTTTTGACCGCAATCGCTCTCGAATCGCGCAGGTCGTGTCGGCCGTGTCGCTGAGGAAGGCATGGACACGGTCCAAGACAGAACCGAGTCATCTAGGACATTTGATCGAAGAGCACGCAGTGTCATGGTAGAGAACGTTGGCCAGACGGCGGGTCATAGGCGAATCATCGTCAGTTGGGATGAACCATACGGGCTGTGATTCACTCACAACTCAGAGGGTGCAATCATTGGAGTCAGCAAAACAGCGAGCCGGATTGGACGATGGCGAGTGCGGAAAGCTGGGGCAGGATGAGATCCGAGGGTGGGGTGTGGGAGTTATCGGGGGTGGCAGACGAGACTGATCGTAACTAGACAGAGGTAGGAAATTGACTGATAATTTGAACGTACTATATGGTTGGCAACTACGGAGGTCGCGATTTGTGGGGTTGGGACGTGAAGGGACGAGGCGACAGTAGTCCACGGCGAGGACAGTTCCAGATAGTGTACTTCTGTTAGCTGGTTCCAAAATGATGCGGACGAGCGGTGAAAGTGTTGCTTATAACGCAGAGGGGAAATGATCCCAATGGAAGCTGATCAGAGAGGGCACCAAGGAGGAAAGAAAAGGAAAGAACGCATCCGGTAATGCTCAATGTCATGCGAATCAAGAATGCAGTGTCGGAAGTGTCGCTGCGGAAGACCGGGACGTGCACCGTGTGCCAAAAAAGGATCACCGAGGGTTCCTGGAAAGTAAAGGATGATAAGATACTGTAGTACGCGGGAGGAGAGAGTGGTAGGAGCGCACCATCTCATCGTGGGGGAACCTGTGGAGAAAATAAAGCAATGAGCAGCAAAGGCCTTGTGAACAGTGAGAAGGTACATACCCTTGTTGGAAGAGTCGTGCATAGAGGCAGAGTAATCCCCGGATCGTTCTAGAGAAGTGGGTTTGACCGAAGAAGGTACTAGCTAGAGGCAGAAGGACGGAGCGCACCGGTAGACCTTGATTGCATCCGACTCGAGAATGTAGTTCCCCAGGTGTAGGTGATGACGGCGGGGACGCATTTCATGTCCGGAAAAGTCGAACTATCCTAAAACGGGCGGGCTGATGAGGAGCATGCCAGAAATGGAAGAGAATTCAATGAACTTATCGTTTGATCGTTAACGCATTCAAATGATCAACGTGGCGGTGGACGGCCCAAGGTGGAGGACGTCAACGAGATTGAAGACCGTGGGAGATTCATGGTCAGATGGGACGAACAATACAAGCTAGAATGACTCACAGAGCAGAGGAGGAAGTCGCCGAGGCCAACCATATAGGTGAGACAATACCCAGCGATGGCAACTGAGGCCATGAGGTCGAAGGAATATGAGCCACTTCTGTCAACGCATGCTGAATGTTGTTACCTGATGGGCCGTGTACGATCAATCATGGATATGGAAGGGAGCGTCACGATGAGTTGTTGAACCCGTCATTTACTTGACATGCTGTGAGGCGGTGAGGGAGGTCGCGAGTTGTGTCGGGGCGCGAGAACACGTAGTCCACGCTTTGGGTCGTTGCTGAGACGACCAGGGCGAGGTGAGAATAAAGAGTGCAGAGGAGAGGAGGCACCTACACTTGGTGAAGGAAGGTGGGCATGGTGTCATGGGCTGATGTCAGTGTGATGGCGACGAGCGGTAAAGACGTTGTATACGTCTGTAAATGGCGGCATGCCCTCAAACGATTCTAGAGAAAGTAAACTGAGTGGAGAGGGTGCCAAGCGGGGGAATGGGAACAAGGGGAACTCACAAATTGCCTCAATTGCTTTTAAAGGGCGGGACACCGTGTCGGAGCTGTCGCTCATGAAGACGGGGAGGCACTCCATGCCAGGAACCGTTGCTGTAACATCTTGACACGTGAATACTATCAGACGGTATCGTAGAGAGGATGGACCATTGCAAGGAGCGCAGCAATTCACCGTCATCCCACACAAATCACCGAGGCGGGGGAATCGCTGTCATGGAGACGTATGTTGGAGACAAGGAAGACCAAATGCGAGTTTTGGTCAGTTAGAATGAACGGCACAGGCTGTTAATCACTCACCCAAAAGAAGGGGGAGTTAATGGTGTTGCCAATATAGACGAAACGCAGTCGAGGGAGGGGACGAGGGGGAGGCAAGTCGGAGCAGCAGGACCTTCAAGAGTTGTTGCTCACTGCGAGTTGTCGCGGTGGACACTGGAAGAGTAATCATACCTCGAGGGAAGCGATTACAAGAACGTACTGGGTGGTTGATAGTCCGGAGCAGCGTCGAGGTTGACTAGGGTGTGTGGGGGACGAGAGGTTAGTCCATGCAGAACGAATTCCCCCAACCACAGTGTGGGGAGCCGAGTGTGGTATAAGGAATTGATCAGAAAAGGGACGGCGAGGAAGAAGCAGGTACATACACTTGTTGAAGGGAAGAAGGCAGAGTCAAGGATTTCTGTGCGTTCGCTGCTCGAAGAATGTCGACGAGGGGAAGACGTTGCGCATACGTACATCAGTCGGGGTGACCTCGAACCCTTCTAGAGAAGTCGGTGCTCAGTAGTGAAGGTGCTAGGGGCGGGATGGAAGGAATGCAGGGATTCGCTGGCCTTGATCGGGGTCGACTCGAGACTATTGTTTCGAAGGTGTCGGCGGCGAGGACAAGGGAGGTATGTCATGTCGGAAGATGTTGTCTAAAACAGGGGCAACAATTGAGGAGCATGTGGAGTGTTATATGCTTATCAACAGAGCGTTGCCACATTCAAATAATGAATGTAGTGGAGAACATCAACGAGATGGAGGATTTCCAGCCGCGACAACTCCTCTTTTTTGTGAGAACTCACAAAAAGGGGGAGTTGTGGCAGCTGGCGAGATACGGAAAGAAAAGGCGGCGGGGAAGTGGGAGCAACATGAGCCATGATTGCAACGTATGATGAGCATTGTCGTCGTGCCTAGACGCCTAGAGCCACTCGTCACCAGGCAGGGGGAGAGTAAGAGGTGCTATTGAACGCACCGAATCGATGGCAGGATGGACTGGGTATGCGGAGTGTGTGGGGCCTGTGGTCCCCGCTGAGGGAATCCCGAGCTGTGTCGTTGGATGAGAAATGATCAGAAGGGTCGAACCGAAGGAGAAAAATGTACTTATGCGTGTTAAAGAGAGGGAGGAGGGAATCAAGCACTTCTGTGGGATGATGTTAGAAAGAGGCCTATGAGGGGAGGGGACGTTTGATACGTAGAGGACCAAGTGTGCGGCAAAGGGAGGAGGGAGGTACGTACACTTGTCGAAGGAAGGCCGAAGTAGTGACCTCCTGTGGGTTGGTGTCACAGTCGTGCCGAAACAGTGACCGAGTTGCATATAATGTGGAGAATAGA